GTCTGGGCCTCTGGGCTTGATTCTTTTATTTTGGAAGTTATTATGATTGATGTCAATTTTTCCTTAATATATATCGCTTATTCAGGTATCCTTATGTGCATTTGGCATATTGTGTTTCAAGAAAATTGGCCCATTTCTATTTAAGGTTATGATCTTCATTTGTAAAGAATGTATTCCTTTGGTTCAGAGAACTTTTCCAAGTATCTTTCATCTTGGAAACTCAGGCAAATAGAAGTTGTTTTTTTTTTCTTCTGTAGTTTGAAGCTGTCATTCCATTTATCTTCTGCATCTGCATGTTTTTCTGACAAGAGTTTGCTGCTTATTTTTTTACATTTGTTCCTTTTTTCTTTCACTTAGAATGAGAATTTTTTTTTTATTCATATGTGCATACAATGTTTGGGTCATTTCTCCCCTTTTCCACTCCCTTCCCTCTCCCCCTTACCCCTCGCACCAGCAGAACTATTTTGCCCTTATCTCTAATTTTGTTTGAAGAAGAGTATAAGCCTAAATAGGAAGGAACAAGGGTTTTTTGCTGGTTGAGATAAGGATAGCTATACAGGGAGTTGACTCACATTGATTTCCTGTGCATGTGTGTTACCTTCTAGGTTAATTCTTTTTGATCTAACCTTTTCTCTAGTTCCTGGTCCCCTTTCTATTGGCCTCAGTTGCTTTTAAGTATCTGCTTTAGTTTCTCTGTGTTGAGGCAACAAATGCTAGCTAGTTTTTTAGGTGTCTTACCTATCCTCACTCCCTTGTGTGCTCTCGCTTTATCATGTGATCAAAGTCCAATCCCCTTGTTGTGTTTGCCCTTGATCTAATGTCCACATATGAGGGAGAACATACGATTTTGGTCTTTTGGGCCAGGCTAACCTCACTCAGAATGATGTTCTCCAATTCCATCCATTTACCAGCGAATGATAACATTTCGTTCTTCTTCATGGCTGCATAAAATTCCATTGTGTATAAATACCACATTTTCTTAATCCATTCAGAGTGTGGGGCATCTTGGCTGTTTCCATAACTTGGCTATTGTGAATAGTGCCGCAATAAACATGGGTGTGCAGGTGCCTCTGGAGTAACCTGTGTCACAGTCTTTTGGGTATATCCCCAAGAGTGGTATTGCTGGATCAAATGGTAGATCAATGTTTAGCTTTTTAAGTAGCCTCCAATTTTTTTCCAGAGTGGTTGTACTAGTTTACATTCCACCAACAGTGTAAAGGGTTCCTTTTTCCCTGCATCCTCGCCAACACCTGTTGTAGTGGTGTTGCTATGATGGCTATTCTAACAGGGTGAGGTGGAATCTTAGTGTGTTTTTTTAATTTGCATTTCCTTTATTGCTAGAGATGGTGAGCATTTTTTCATGTTTTTTTGGCCATTTGAATTTCTTCTTTTGAGAAAGTTCTGTTTAGTTCATTGCCCATTTCTTTATTGGTTCATAATTTGGGCAATTTAGTTTTTTAAGTTCCCTATATGTATTTCTGGTTGTCTGATGTGTAGCTGGCAAATATTTTCCTCCCACTCTGTGGGTGTTCTCTTCAGTTTAGAGACCATTTCTTTTGTTGAGTAGAGCTTTTTAGTTTATGAGGTCCCATTTATCTATGCTATCTCTTAGTTGCTGTTTGCTGCTGGGGTCCATTGAGAAGTTCTTGCCTAACTTATAATCCAGAGTATTCCTACTCTTTCCTGTACAACTTTAGAGTTTGGGTCTGATATTAAGATCCTTGATCCATTTGAGTTAATATTGGTATAGGGTGATATACATGGATCTAGTTTCAGTTTTTTTTGCAGACTGCTAACCAGTTTCCCAGCAGTTTTGTTGAAGAGGCTGTCTTTTCTCCATTATATATTTTAGCGCTTTTGTCAAGACAAGTTGGTTATAGTTGTTGGTCATATCTAGGTCTCTATCTGTTCACTGGTCTCATGTCTTACATATTCTTTTCCTGTTTCTTCTTTGTTATTATGCTTAGGCTTACTTGGAGCTTTAGTAATTTGGCTACAATTTACTTAGATTTTTTTCTTTATATTAATACTGCTTGGGATACCTACAGCTTCTGGATGCATGGTGTTTGTCTTGCACTAATTTTGGAATAATTCTAGTAATTAATCTCTTCAAATATTTCTTTGCTGTTCTTCTTCTCCCCTTCTTCTACTCTTCTTCCCTTCATTGCATCTTCCTTTCCCTTCTTTAACTCTACTTACCATGCTTAGATGGTTTGATATTGTCCGGTTGTTCAGTTGTTCTGTTTGCTCTTTTCTCCTCATTACATCTCACATTTCCATTTGGATGATGTTCTTGATTTTCTCTGTTTATAGATAAAATTACTTATTCTGTAATAAGTTTTTCTATGATTTTTTAAAATAGTTTCCAGTGTTTTGCTGCATTATATTCACAAGTGTCTACCTTTTCAACTAAATCATTTATATGTTTATTTGGCTCTTTTAATATCTCTGATCATTCTAACACTGAGTGGACAACCCTTGATCTGGTTCTTTGACTATTTCTGCTTTGATAAGGAGCATTTACTTGTCTTACTGTTTTGGTGTTCTTCCAATTTTTTATGGAACACTAGACTTGTGTATAACAGGATAATAGAGACCAAAGTAAATGATGTGTACTGGAAAGGTGTGCTTTATACTGTCAGGTAGTGTTGAGTTCATCCAGTGGGGAGTTGAGCAGTAGACTGCTGCTTCGGTGTGCTGGTGTGGGGTCCAGAGCTCTGAAGTTCTCGGTGTTTCTGCTTCAGACACAGATTTAAGGAGGCCCTAAAACCTCTCGTCCTATGCCCAGGCCACAGGGCAAGGGGTCAGGAGGAAAGTCTCTTTTCCTTGCCCCCCGGGCTAGGCTGTGGTTACCTGGTCAGGGCTTAGGAAAGGGGTGAGGAGATTTGTCACGGTTTTCTTGCAGTTTCTCAGCTCTCTTGTTTTAGTCTCAGTCTTGGGCTGGCTATGTAGGTCTGAGCCTCATGGGTGGGCTTTCTCATGTTTTTGTCACTGGAGGTTTTGAGGTTTCGTCACTAGAGGTGTCGTCACCCTGGTTCTTTTCTACCTTGGAGCACTAAGAATGTGGGGATTGATTTGAACATTGTTGGGAAAAAGACCCTCCAAAAGCCTTTGGCATTTCTCTGTTAAAACTCCACTATTCTAGAGTTATCTTTGAAGAGTGTGACTCTGACACTGTCCCCTGCTAAAATCTCCTCCCATGTACCCCATGGGCCCTCAGGTCAAATACTGTGAGCTCCACATTCTTGGCTCTTCACCCTGACCTTCCTTCATGTATTTGTCTTGTCCCTCTCCCTGGGCCCAGACCATCAGTTTTGAGAGCAGATGCCTTCTCCCCCTGCCCCTCAAATGTATCATGGGAGAAAAACGCAGAGCCATGCACCTTCCAGGGCTCAGCAACTGTCAGGAGTGAAGAACAAGCACCCTGGAAAGCAGTGCTCTGCCTTCTGCAGCTAGACTTCCAGCCCTTAGATTCATGCAGATGTCATAGGAAGCCTTTTCAGAGACACCCACCCCTCAAGCTTGGGAGGGACCCCTCCCATCTTTCCTGCTTCCTTAACCCTCCTGTGGTGGCCCCAGGCATAGATAATCACAGTACTACCCTTCCTTAGTTCCCTAGGGCAGTGACTGTGAGGACCTGGCTGACCCACCTGGGCTGGGCAGGTCCTTGGTGGCCTACAGTGGACCCTTGCCACCCCAGGGTGGCTGACCCAGCTTTGGGCTGCTTCTGCACATGCATGTAGAGTAAAGATTCTTAAGGCCCTTTTTCCTGTTCTAGGATCACAGACAACCGGATAAAAGCATGTGGCCTGTCCCAGGATGCTGGAGGCAAGGGCTCCTGGGCCCACGTGGAGCCCTGGCATGTGCAGTGCTGGGGCAGCGCCAGTCTCCAGGGAGCCGAGCTGTGGCTAGCACGGGCACTAGTGCCCAAGCCGAGTTCAGCTACGTGGTGGTGGGTGCAGGCTCCGCGGGCTGCGTGCTGGCCAGCCGGCTCACGGAGGACCCTAGTGAGCGGGTGCTGCTGCTGGAAGCGGGGCCCAAGGACACATTAGCAGGGAGCAAGCGGCTCTTGTGGAAGATCCATATGCCTGCGGCCCTCGTGGCCAACCTGTGTGATGACAGGTACAACTGGTATTACCATACTGAGTCGCAGTCAGGCCTGGATGGCCGCGTGCTGTACTGGCCACGGGGCCGCGTCTGGGGGGGCTCCTCCTCCCTCAATGCTATGGTCTACATTCGTGGGCATGCTGAGGACTATGACCGCTGGCAGCGTCAGGGCGCCACGGGCTGGGACTATGCACACTGCCTGCCCTACTTCCGCAAGGCGCAGAGCCACGAGCTGGGGGCCGGCCGGTACCGTGGTGGCGAGGGCCCACTGCGTGTGAGCCGGGGCAAGACCCAGCACCCACTACACCAGGCCTTCCTGCAGGCGGCACAGCAGGCCGGCTATCCCTTCACTGAAGACATGAACGGCTTTCAGCAGGAAGGCTTTGGATGGATGGACATGACCATCTACGAAGGTAGGGTGCCCCATTCCCTCCACTGTAAATGGCCCCCTGTCACTGCCTATCATCTCTCCCAGTTCCATCATGGTCAGTAAGTGTGACAAAATGAAGCTGGTATTAGGTAGAAGGGAAGTGACATGCTATACCCCCCTTAGATGCCACAGAATATGACCCGATGAGTGGAGCAGCCACATCTGGATGCCTGACTGGGCCTCTGGGCCCTGTTGGTGTGGACAGTGGAGAATTATCTTTTGGACAAAAAGCCCAGAGACTTGCAGGTGGAGGAAATGGAGACACAGAGAGGCAGCCAGGAGCACCATAGCCGCCTTTCCCTTTGTAGCCGGAGCTACTGAGGCACAGAACAAGCATTGTAGGACCTAGGTCACAGCAGGATAGAGGCAAGGCCATGGCTGACTCAGGGCGCCTGCCTGCTTCCTCAGGATTCTTATCCCTTCTGTCTGCTGCTCCTGATCTGTGTCATCCTGTCAAGGCAAAGGATGGTTTTCCCTCTGTGCCAGGGGACTGGAGAAGATGAGGACTTCAGTAGGGCAGAGCCTTTAGGTCAAACCTTATTTTGAAGGCAGGCCTTGCAGTCAAGGGCCAGCTAATTTCATTCTTTCTCTAGCTCTTTCCCCTGTGCAGGGGAAAGGCCAGGACCCTGCCTGATCTGTCTTCCTCCTGCAGGCAAGCGCTGGAGCACGGCCTGTGCCTACCTGCACCCAGCACTGAGCCGCCCCAACCTCAGAGCTGAAGCCCAGACCCTCGTGAGCAGGGTGCTATTTGAGGGCACCCGGGCGGTGGGTGTGGAGTACCTCAAGAATGGCCAGAGTCATAGGGTGAGTGAACTCCAGTGGGCCTGGCAGCTCAGAGGGCAAGCAGTAAGTCTGTGGTCAGGTTTTCCTCCCCAGATGCGTGTTCTTGTACTGAGTGAGCACCTGGTGGCAGTGGCAAGGAATTGTTCCTGGGGCTTCAGAAGGCAGTGGGCTGGTGAAGATAGGAATTCCCTGTCCTGCCACTTGCACGCCTTGGCATGATTGTCTCCATGAGCCTCTACCCTCTAACACCTACCTCAGGGCACTGGCCTGCCAGACATTGATGAGTTAATCCTAGAGTTTTTAGAACCCATGAATGTGATGACACTATTTCTTTTTTCTTTTTTTTTTTTTATTATTCATATGTGCATACAAGGCTTGGGTCATTTCTCCCCCCTGCCCCCTCCCTCTCCCCCCACCCCCTCAATACCCAGCAGAAACTATTTTGCCCTTATTTCTAATTTTGTTGTAGAGAGAGTATAAGCCATAATAGGAAGGAACAAGGGTTTTTGCTGGTTGAGATAAGGATAGCTATATAGGGCATAGACTCACATTGATTTCCTGTGCGTGTGTGTTACCTTCTAGGTTAATTCTTTTTGATCTAACCTTTTCTCTAGTTCCTGGTCCCCTTTTCCTATTGGCCTCAGTTGCTTTTAAGGTATCTGCTTTAGTTTCTCTGCGTTAAGGGCAACAAATGCTAGCTAGTTTTTTAGGTGTCTTACCTATCCTCACCCCTCCCTTGTGTGCTCTCGCTTTTATCATGTGCTCAAAGTCCAATCCCCTTGTTGTGTTTGCCCTTGATCTAATGTCCACATATGAGGGAGAACATACGATTTTTGGTCTTTTGGGCCAGGCTAACCTCACTCAGAATGATGTTCTCCAATTCTATCCATTTACCAGCGAATGAAAACATTTTGTTCTTCTTCATGGCTGCATAAAATTCCATTGTGTATAGATACCACATTTTCTTAATCCATTCGTCAGTGGTGGGACATCTTGGCTGTTTCCATAACTTGGCTATTGTGAATAGTGCCGCAATAAACATGGGTGTGCAGGTGCCTCTGGAGTAACCTGGATGACACTATTTCTACATGGTACTTTTCTTTGCTTAGTACCATACACCAGTGACAGCTTTGCTGGCTCATTGCTTCCTACCTTTAAGACTCTTGTTTATGTGCCTGCTAACATAGATGTCATTTGAGACCTATCATCCCCCTGTTTTCCTCATTCATTTTTTATTAGCATGTATTAATTGTACAAAATACAATTATATATTATATATATACATATATATACGTTATATATGTATATAATGTACTTTAATTATATTCATTCACCCCATTACTCCTGCTTGTTCCCCCTCCCCACCTCTTCCCAAATAGTTCCACTTCTTTCATGTCTTTTTCCTTTTTTAAAATCTAGATTTTGCATATGAGAAAAACATACAATATTTATCTGAGCCTGATTTATTTCGGCTAGTATCATGATCTCTAGCTCTATCTATTTTCCTATAAATGGGATAATTTCATTCTTCTTTGTGGCTGTGTATATATACCACATTTCCTTTATCCATTCATCCACTGATGGACACCTAGACTAATTCCACAACTTAGCTAGTATGAACAGTGCTGCTGTGAACATGGGTGTGCGGGTGTCTCTAGTGTATGCTGACTTACATTCCTTTGCGTATATGCCCAGGAGTGGTATAGGGGGTCATATGGTAGTTATGATCCCACTCTATGGGTTTCAGTAGTGGCTGCATCAATTTATATTACCACAAGCAATATATAATAAGGGTCCCTGGTCCCCCGCCCCCCTCCATCTTTAGCATTTGCTGTTCTTTTTATGATGTTGGCTATTCTGATGGAAGAGATAGAATCTCAGTGTTGTTTAGATTTGCATTTACATGATGGCTAAACGTGGGTTTTCAGGTATTCATTGGCCATTTGTACTTCTTTTGAGAATTCTGTTCAGTTGCTTTGCTCATTATTGATTGGATTACTTGGGGTTTTTTTGTGTTTAATTTTTTGAGTTCTTAAATAATCCCCTGCTGGATGAATAGCTGGCAAAGGATTTTCTCCCATCTTTAGGCTATCTCTTCATCTGGAAATTGTTTCCTTGCTGTGAAGAAGCTTTTTAATTTGATGCAATCCCATTTGTCAATTCTTGCTAGTACAGTCCTGTTCTGAAAGTCATTGTCTATATCCATATCATGAAGTGTTTTCTCTGTGTTTTCCTCAAGTACTTTCAAAGTTTCAGGACTTCCATTAAGATCTTTGATCTCTTTTTGAGTTTGATTTTCATACAGGGTGAGAGATAGGGGTGTCTAAATTTAGTCTTCTGCATTTAGCTTTCCCAGGACCATTTGTTGAAGGGGCTCTCTTTCAATGTGTTTTTGGCACCTTTGTCAAGAGTTAGATTGCTGTAGTTTGTGAGGATTTATTTCTGGGTCTTCTATTCCATTGTTCTATGTGTGGGTTTTGGTCAGTATCATGCTGTTGATCTGTAGTATAATTTAAAATCAGATATTGTGAAGCCTCCACCATTGCTTTTTGCTCAGGACTGCTTGACTATGCAGGGTCTTTTGTGTTTCCATATGAATTTGAAGATTGTTTTTTCTAATTCTGTGAAGAATGTCATTGTACTTTTGGTGAGGACTCCATTGAATGTGTATCCATTCCTGTTTTAAAGGCTCCTTTTACTATTCAGCTGTTGCAGAATGTATTAGAGTGTGGCCCACATCTGATTTTCACACATCATTGCTTGTGCAGGTTGCTTTCAAATGGCAACACAGTGAGCTCCCTCTTCTTTGCTCTTGGGCCTATGAGCAGACTTGCAATGGTGGCAGTGGTGTTCCTGTGGTACTGGGTGCTGGTGTGTGAACCAGGAAAACGGCTGGTTCTTTAGAAAGTGTGAGCAGCTTGCCTTTGCTTTTTCCAGGTGTATGCCAGCAGGGAGGTGATCCTGAGTGGGGGTGCCATCAACTCTCCACAGCTGCTTATGCTCTCAGGCGTCGGGAATGCAGATGACCTCAAGAAACTGGGCATCCCTTTGGTGTGCCACCTGCCTGGTGAGCCCCTTCCTCATTGCTCCCCAGAGGTTGGCTCTGAGAAAACAAATGGCTTATTGTATTAGCATGGAGGTGACAAGTGTCAGTGTCCCTTGGAACTGTCATCCTTCCCATGAACCCGAGGGTCCCCTAGGCCTCAGTGGACACACCTTCTGCTGGGCCTTTGTGCTGTTTTCCTTTGTCCTCATCCAGGCAGCCTTTCCCACGTGGAGGAAGTAGAGCTAGCAGGAGTGGGGCTGGGCACATCGCCAGGGCTACTCTGTGGTGAGAAGGGTCCATTCCTAGGACTCACCAACTGCATGAGCAGAAATGATGTCAGCTTAGGGCTCCAGAGCACACGCTCCATGTGAAGACCTGAAGTTCATTTTATAAACTGTTTGCAATGCTCTTGAGGTCCTGGCTCTGTCTCCATTACCCCTGCACACTCAGAGGACTGGCTGTTTTTATGTAGGCTTCCTCTTGAGAGGCCTGGGAAGTGCTGGTCCATGACTATCACCTGCCTGCCCAATGTGCCCTTGAGTTTGGGGGAACTTATGCAGGGTCTGTATAACATGCTGGGGCTTCCTTCTTCTCAGGACAGAATGGGGTTACTGTCCCACCTGGCTGCCTGGCCATCAACCAGGCAGTGACTACTCATGGAGGAGTGCCTGCCGTGGGCATAGATCCTGCCTTCCAGTGGGTGCTTGCTGAGTAGGGCTGGCCAAGGGCATCTGGGTGGCTGCGCTCGTAGGGAGTGACAGAGGCAGGTGGCTTTGGCAGCATTTGAGAAAGGGGCAGACCTGCTTGGGAGTGCAGGAATGATGTCTCTGGGAGGTAACTTTTAATCTGAGACCTAGGGACCAAGCAGGAAGTAGCTCCGGAGCTAAGTGGGCAGAGGAGACATTTTCAAAACCAGGAGGGTAGTAAGAAGCCAGCTAAGCCTCCTGAGGTGGCTATCTTTCCTAACCATTCCCTCCTGTCAGGAGTTGGCCAAAACCTGCAAGACCACCTGGAGGTATACATTCAGCAGGCATGCATCCACCCCATCACCCTCCACTCATCCCAGAAGCCCCTGCGGAAGGCCTGCATCGGTCTGGAGTGGCTGTGGAGATTCACAGGTGGGCATATACCTCAGTGACCTTGGTGAATACGGTCTCTGGGCATCATGGCTTCCTTCCTGAGGAGCTGAGCAAAGGCTCTGGCCCTAGGTTGCTGGGTGCAGAGCCAAACTGTGCCACTTACCTATCAGCAAAGTGAGTCCTGCCTGACAGGCTGGTGTGAGGCCCAGAAGCAGTAGTTTGTTGACAGGCTTAGCCTAGGGGCCTGCTGAGCGTGATGCTGCCCAGAAGTTGGGCACTGTTCTTCTCATAGGTGGATGGAGATGCTCTTGGGCTGGTTTGAGAATCATGAGAAAAAGCCCAGAGGAGGCCTTGGCACTTGGCTGCAGAATCAGCATCTGGTGTCAGCTGCTGGGGAACCATTCCTTGAAATCCTCCTCATTCACGCAGCTTGTGCTTCCCACACTCTATTGCCACTAAGCTAGATGGTGGGAAGGGCCAACAGACTGGTAGAGCTGGCAGAGCTAAAGTTCCCCACTTGGTATGTGGTTGGTGTTTAAAACTGTGGTGCTGGGTAAGGCCACCTAGGGGAAAGAGGACAGTTGTGGACAGGGCTTCAGGCTGGGGCCCAGGATCGAGGTCAGGAAGATGAGAGAAGGGACACCAGGAATGGACAGCCCACCTGCCACACCATGATTGGCTCTTCTGTTCCTCAGGGGAAGGAGCCACAGCCCATCTGGAAACTGGTGGGTTCATCCGCAGCCGGCCTGGGGTCCCCCACCCAGACATCCAGTTTCATTTTCTGCCGTCTCAAGTGATTGACCATGGACGGGCCCCCACTCAACAGGAAGCTTACCAGGTGAGCAGACGAAGTTCCATCCAGGGACCCTTCCTTTCTGCCCTTGGGTACATGCTCTTGAGGGTGGCATCTTTCTCCACTGTGGCAGGGCCTTCAGTTCCCTGCCCTTGTCTGACTGGGGAAAAAAAGGGGAGCCCAGCAACTCAGTCCACATCAGCAATGCACAGAAGAGGATGACTTGGCCTGGGATTATTACCATGAAAGTACTGGGAAATGGAACATGAAGCCAGATGGGGAAAGTGATTCGTTGACATGGTTGTTAATCACTTGTGGAAAGAGGGTAAGATGCAGGCAAGTGCTAAACTGCATCTGCTCTGAATTGGATACAGAGTTGGGGTTTGATGGAGGTTACTATGGATGACATTATCTTCTTTGGGCCCTCCTAGGTGCATGTGGGGACCTTGCGGGAAACGAGTGTGGGCTGGCTCAAATTGAGAAGTGCCAATCCCCAGGACCACCCTGTGATCCAGCCCAACTATTTATCAACAGGTAATTCAGCAGCCACCTTCATCTCCTCTGGGCCTGGGCTTGAATGAAGGAATGCCTTTGGGGGGTTTCTAAATCTTAGGTCCCACTTCCTGACATCCAGGACAGGTTAACCTCTGTCCTGGGTCACACCAAGAAACCTAGGACCTCATTTTACACAGGAGGACAGCGGAACGGCTTTCAGAGCTGTCTGTACCTGTGTGTACCGCTCTTCCTATCCTTACTCCCAGCATGCCTCCTTGCATGCAGCAAAAATCAAGCACTCCCTGTCAGGCAGGCTTTGTCCTGATGGCATGGGGTGCTCATAGCCACATGGTAGCAGAAGCAGGGCATGTGTTCTTATCCCTGCTTTACAGAGAAGCGAGACCCCTGACTTAAACCTGGGCTTCTGGGGCAGGCTCTGTCTTTGTTGCCCTCTAACCACTATGAGAAGGTAATTAGTACCTGGTGGCTAGGTTCCCCCAGTAGCTTGTTGAGCTTCTCCATGCCATGAATCTTCTAGTAGGCCAGCATGACAAGGGCAGGTGCCTCATCTGTCTCTCCTCCTCCACAGACACTGATATTGAGGACTTCCGTCAGTGTGTGAAGTTGACCAGAGAAATTTTTGCACAGGAAGCCCTGGCTCCATTCCGGGGGAAAGAGCTCCAGCCAGGAAGCCATGTCCAGTCAGATAAAGAGATAGATGCCTTTGTGCGGGCAAAAGCTGACAGCGCCTACCACCCCTCATGTACTTGTAAGATGGGCCAGCCATCTGATCCCACTGCTGTGGTAGACCCACAGACCAGGGTCCTTGGGGTAGAAAATCTCAGGGTCATCGATGCCTCCATCATGCCCAGCGTGGTCAGTGGCAACCTGAACGCCCCCACAGTCATGATTGCAGAGAAAGCAGCTGACATTATTAAGGGGAAACCTGCACTCTGGGACAAGGATGTTCCTGTCTACAAGCCCAAGACCCTGGCCACCCAGCGCTAAGGCATTCACTGCCTGAGGGTGACAAAGCCCCTGGCAACCAAGAGGATGACCAGCCCAGCTCTTGCTCCAAATGTCCTTTCCTGAAACTGTCTAGAACATCTACTCATAGCTAAGAACTGGTCTTAGAAAACTGGTCAGTGAATTGAATTTCTTTGCCCCAACATTTCCCTGTGGGCCCTTTGAGGAAGTCCAGCATTCAGGCTGGGGCCCTTCCTCCTCACCTCCTAGGGGAACAGCAGAGGGGAAGGGAGGCCAGTAGAGGAGGAGGGGTAATTCTTGTCATGTGTCCATCTGCCTTGACAGGAGTGGTTTAAAGCCAGTCCTAGGAGGGAAGGCCATGAGCCTTCCAGACCTGTGTTGCAAGCTTTAGCTGAGGCCAAGTGCCATGCACAAGTTCGCTTAGCCCGAGCTGGGACATGGTCTCCAGTGTCCCTGGTCAGAGGGGAAAACTGCTAGCTGGAGGAAATCCAGGCTCTCCTTTTCTTTCCCATTGTGAGTCCACTCAAGAGTGAGTGAGGTTTAGGGACTCAGTCAGGTGACTGAGGGTCTCCCAGTTTACCTTTCTAGTGCTGTGGTTCTCATTAAAAGGGCTGAGGAGAGGCTTTCTGGCCACTTTGGCCCTCCTAGCAAAGGTTTCATGATTTAACATTTAAAAAGATGTTACGATAGAGCCAATACATATAGATATACGTACTGAGGCAGCAAGCTTGAGAGGACTTTTCCCAGCAGCTCTGGCAAATAGCCCAGCAGCTGCCCAACAGACAGGACTGGTGAATTCTTATTCTCTAGACATCCATGGGAACAGACAGGGTGGTGCTGAGACTGATGGAAAGAAACCAAGTACAACTGAAAAAAAAATTGGCAAAAACCCACGGACAAGTACAATTTACATGGGTTCTTTGGTTTCTAATGTCCTTATAGTCCAGTAACTTATTTTTGAACTGAGATGCCTTATCCCTGACTGTTTATGAGGGAATGAAAACTAAATTTCTGAAGATGTTCAAAGCCACCCTCTATAGCAGGAAATAAAAGAATTGTTGTAAGGAAACCCACAGTGCTGGGCCCAGAATAAGGAGGAGAAAATTGGAATTCCAGGTTTCACCAAGATTTGGCGTGGGTTGAGATGTCTTGCAGACCTTGGAGGCCCCATAAACCCTACTTAAATTTCTGAGAAAAATCGAAAGAAGCAAAGCATCATAGTTCTCTTTCCTTTTAAAACTTTAGGCAGCTCTTACCTATATCTTGCCTTTTGTTTTTTTCCTGTTTCAAGAGAAGGTCAAGATGGAGAATTTCTTGGCAGACCTAGAATTTTCTTAGAGTAGGCCTTTTACCTCCATCCATCCTCGGCCTGGGAGCCACCAGTAGTAGTGCAGCTCTCTGAGACCATGTGCCACTCTCCTGTCAGAGGGGTGTGAATTCTGGGCAGGGGTAAGAAGCAAAAAGTGAGGCACAAATAAGGGGAGTCACAGACCTGACTCTGTACAGATATAGATGGAGCAGGTGACCGTCACTTAGTTCCACCATCTCTATCCCCTGAGACAATGGCAGCTGTATTTTAAGATAAGAAGGACCTGTCTGGCATGCTGCTCAGTGACATCTAGCCCCTCTCCCACCTTTACTTACTGAGGCACAGTTCCACGACTTGGTGATGCAAGAAAATTAGTTTCAAAAGATAAGATTGTCATGGGTCTAGAATCCACAGGAGTCAAGCAGGAAACTTGGGTTCAGGCACAGACCATACATTCTGACGTGAAGGGTTCCTCAAGGGAGCCCTGATGGGCCAACATGGCTGCTCCTCTCTCCAGCCCAAAGCCAAAGGACAGATGCATGAGTGAGTTCCCCCATAGTGTCAAATGCACACAGCAAGGCTGTCCAGAAGTCCCACTGCTGTGAGGGGAGATTTTCATCCAAGAAGAGAGGGCTACTGGCTGAGGGAACCAGAGTGGGAGAATGGCACTCAGTTGCTTGAGTTACAAAGTGGAATGCACACAGGCCCCACCAGACTCAGTCTTGTGGGGAATCAGGTAGACTTTGGTATGTAGGTCCCTTGCCATAAAAGTATATAATGGAAAATGGAAAGACTGCTTTTTAATAAATGCTTGGAAGGGTCAGAAAGCTACACATAGACCTAGAGTTCTGAGGAGCCCTGCCATACTGAAGAAGCTGTGTTTACCTTGCTGTATCAGCAGAAATAGTACTTGACAGGTAGGGGGAGAGGCACATCTGCCAGCAGGATGTGGAGGTACCTTGACATACAGCCTTTCTATTTCCAGCGCAAGCTGCAGGAATAATAATTTCCATAAATTCAAATAGATTCTTCTCTCTGGCCAAACAATATCCCTCAGCCCCAAAAGTTTTTTATTTTCCCCATATTTCCACTGATAAACCAACATGCCATCAGATCTAATTAAGGTTTTTGTTTTCTTCTTTTAAAAAGGAGGAAAAACTACATGCCCTGCCCATGTGTACTGGCTTATTCCTCCAGGATATCCTCAGACTATCCTCCTTATCTGCCCTCCACGTCCCTTGAAGAGGAGGCAAAAATAACCTTTTAAACAAAAGCAGAGCTGGAGTCAGGGGTCTATGTATGACACTAGCTCTATGGCTTTCTTTTTTTTTTTTATAACAAGTAAATTAATGGTTCATTCTAAAAATAAAAGCTTGTAGGGAAATGTAATTGGCAAAGATACTTTAAACCATAAAAAGTACACTATGTGAAATAAACTTCTGACTTCTTTTAAGATCATGGCTGCTGTAAAATGGGTGATACATCTAGCTACAAGCTCCCCTCATGCAGCCACAGGCTCCTGGTACCTTCGAGACCTGCCCATCCCAGCCTTCAGTGGATTCTGTAATGCAACAGAACTGGGAAGGACCACCTTGTTAGGCAGGGTCCGGCTGTCTGGATGGAAACTGGGGTCAACACATTGAGCAGAAAGAATTCTTAACGAGGTTCTTGCTGTTGATTGTCAGTTAAATCACAGTAGCCATTTCTACTCATGATATTAAAAATAAGATTAAAGAAGCTAAAATGAACTATTCCTGTGGACACAAGTCATTTTTGGGTAGGGAGGGGAAACTAAAGAAATTCACACTTAAAACTTTTTCCTAAAACAAAACATGCTCTACAACTTCAAATTTTTCTTGCAAAGAGAAATTTAATATTAGGTAAAAGGTTGAATCAGGCTTAAATCAGACATATAATGGGAAGTGGTGCAGCCGTGTGGTAAGTTTGGCCTGATGATGTGAAGCCACACAAAGACCAATGCCCAACAGAGAGAGTCCAAGGCAATGCCGATGGTGGTGTAGCCCTTTGGAGAAGCAGTGCTCTTGGCAGCTGTAGGAAGTTAGCGTTGGCATCAATGCCTGAGGATAGAAAAGGCTACCTGATTGTAGAGCTGCCCCAAGAGCACCTGCCCCTCTGAAGCTGTCCCTGGCAGAGCCAGCTCTGTGCGAGGAGAGCTCCTGAATACAATGAAATTATTACACAGTTTTATTCTGAAGAACATTTTAATAAAAAAGGCTTTATGTCAGGAAATATTCATTTACAAACCTTGAAATGTTTTTGCCTGGATCTCAAGTAAGAATGTCTTACGAAGAGGTTTGTGAGGTCTTTATAACAAAGTATTGTTATTTACAAAAAAAAAAAAAAATGACAGGTTGTCTATGTACTAGTTAAAAATTTTGAACCCAAATTGCTACCTGTCTTTTTGATTACAGGGAATCCCTGCCAAGGTAACTCAATGACATCAGCATGATTCTGTTAACAGAAAAGGAAGCCTTGACAGTTCTAAGGATGCCAAAGTGGGTTCTTCTCAGGACATACAGTTGGAGTGAGTGCATTCTCCTGAAAACTTCAGCCCTCATTCAATTGCATATAATAGCCCTCAAAGAGAACACACAACACAGCAACATTTTGTAAAAGGCAACAGGACGATCTATACAGACCCAACATTCTAACCCTAGAAGTCACCATGGTGCTCCCTCCACCTCCTGCCCCATGACCCCTTATTTTTTAAGACAAGCAGCACCACCAGTCCCTGGGAGATGAGAGCAGACATGCTTCATTCACCTGTGTGATTATTTCTGCAGCAGAGAAAATCAGACCAATAGATGCCATGGGGCGGGGGGCGGGGAAGAGAAGGGTAGCCAGTTGGACCTGCTCTGTAACTGACTTACCAGAGGGTTATGAAAGTAAAACCAAACCTAGGACAGTAGCAATCCATGGTGGATAAAAGATACAATATCAAAATCATAGAACTCTTGCCCAAAGTAAAGACTGCAAATAGTCATCCTGTATATCTTGTGTAAAGATGGATTTATAATGAGTCAAAATATTTTAGAAAATTTTCTGTAGTGTCAAGTTCTTTCAAACTCAAAGTTTTATCCCCAAAGAATTTTCACTGAGTAAGTGAGAATTGGCTCTATTTCTTCTACTTCTGTATAGCCCAAGTAAAAATGCTAATAATTTCTAGATTTTGGTGGGAAACTACAATTGTTAGGACCCATGGATATTGCTGCAGTTCAAATACGGTACAATAATTACAAAATATAGACCATCTCTTTACAAATACAAATTGTAGTATATTACAAGTCATGTACAGTAAATCTATAATTTTTAAACAAACTAGCGTATCTAAGTTTACCTGGTTACGAGTGCATTATTCCAGTTTACAGCTGCCCTTAGCATGACAGTCAGAACTGACCATCTGAGTGATGTTCTCTTGTGTAAACTGGCATCACATAACAGAAAACCTTGTCTGTCAGGTCCCACTCCCCTCTGATGACCGCTGGTAGCTAGGTTCTGATACAAACTGTTTCAGAACAGGAAGCAGTGTTGGGGGAGAGGGGTTTAAAAATGGATATGCTAGACCCATGACTGAGGTAATGACACAGGTGTGGTAACTGTCATCACCTTTAACCTTTCCCCCTGCGCCTTTGGGCAGGTGCCCTGGGTAGGGAGACATGGACTTCTTGGCAGCCTTCTGGACCTTTGGGCAGGGCTGGTCTGCCCTCTTCACCCGTCCTCTTGAGACAGCTGGACCTGCCATCTCCTGTGGCTGGGCCTGAGCATGTGTGCACTATGTGCTCGGACACTGGGAACCAGTTCCTACCAGGTTTATGGCTTCCTTGAGGTATGACCTCACTTGTACAAAAGTCTAATTGAGTATTTCCTCCCAGCTGGTGCCTAACCTTTTCCTAACTATGAGGCACTTTTTCCCTGGCCCTCCTCCATCCCTCCAAGGCCAGAACCAGCCCTGCCTTGCTGGGGTTACAAGGTGGTGATGCAGATCATCTCATCCGCCAGGTCTTCCTCCTCTCGCCCAGGGTCAGGTTCCTCATCACTGTAGCCAGGACCAAAGTCCTGGAGCTCATAGTCCTGCTGGCATGAGACAGGTCCCACGTCCCCATTAGCTCGAGGACACACACTCCCGTTGAGCAGAGTGCTGGCAGCACTCTCCATCTCGTCAATAGTTAGGTCACAGGCATCTGCGATTTCATGTTTTGTTGCTGACACAAATTTTGGATCCCTTGCATAGCGTCCCAAGCCTTCAGAAATCAGAACCTGTAGAAAGAGGACCAAAGGTGTGAGCATCACAAGGCACTCAATGCATGATGTGTTTCTTTAGACACAGCCCAACTGTGTTTATAAGACTTCAGACGTGATGTTAATGGTATAATGGCCTCAGTTTTGAAAATGTCATGGAGTCAAAACACTCTATATGGCCCAACAGGAATGAAACCCACTGGAGAAACAGCACGAACAGGTAACAACAGCCAGCAGGCAGAGCGTGCAGGAAGACAAAGGTGGCCAATTTTCACTCAGGTCTTAAATACCACTCCTGCTGCTAAGAAGCCTCAAACCCAGGTCTCTTGCCTGGCTCTGGAGCCCACACCCATCACCATGGCCCTCTCCTGCTACGTGTGGTAGGCTCTCCATGGTTCTGCCCTCCTGTAGCTGAGAGTAATACTTACTGCCTCTACCAAGCTGTCTGCACTCCTCTGCTTGTCACTATTTTTGTTCCGGAAGCTGCTAGGGACAGTCAGACTGGCTGGTGTGAAAGTCCGATATGAAATATCAGGCTCATCCGTGTACCAGGAGCTGCGGTGTAGGGATGGAAGGCTGCCGTTGACCTGGTCCAATGACTCTGACTGTTCTACTTGGATCAGGGGAGTGTAGCATGGGGTCCAATCCTGGTATGGAGGGGTTGCTGGAGGGGTAGCCCAAGACCGGGTTGAGTGGCTCGGTGAGTACTTCTGGGCTTTACTGGAATCGAGGCCTGCAACTGCCATGATCTGAGAGGAGAGAGGAGAATGAGCAGAACAAGGTCCTTTGAGGTCTGGGCCTCAGGCCCCTTTAAACAGACTGAGCATAGCACTATCAAAGGACGTGAGCATGCAGGAAAAGTTTCAGTGAGTCAGCAGGGAAACCTGTTTCCTCTCCCCCAAAGCCCTAAAGCATTTCCTATGACTGTGCCCATGGAGTTTTCAGTTACTAATTAATTGCTTCAGAATAATGGAGAATCAAGATGAGCAAGTTGTGTTGTGGGAACATACCACCCAGGCCACTGAAAAACTGAGGATTCCAGCTTGCATGGAAAACTTAGCTGGTTCTCTTCTCCCTAGTGCAGCTCATCCTGTAACGGGCATTCTGTCTGCCCTGAAGCACTGGGCACAAACCTTGCATCTCAGACTTCCACCATGGCAGATTCACCTCAGGATACCCACTCTACAGAGAGGGACACTGAACCTGTCCGTGTCAACAGCATAGATCCATAGCCAAACAGGAAGCCATGGCCACCCAGAGGAGGCAGATGAGACAAGAAAGACCTGGGCCTGGTCTGGGTGAACCATGTGACCCTTAGAGACCTCCATGCCTTCTTGACTCATTGTCTCTGGTGGTTTGGGTTTTCTAAAGATTTGTCCTTCCATGATGACACAGGATAAAAGTACAATTATTATGACTATTTCAGGCAGAGAAGTAAAAAGCTGGTAGAGAGACCTGAATAGAAAATCTGAAATGGCCACTGAGTGTTCATGTGCTCAGGACCCAGAGTCAGAGCCCCACAGAGACCTGGCTCTGCCAATTGACTGGTTGGGTGCTGTGTGCTTGGCATCCCCCTTGACTGGCCCCTACTGAGCATACACAAATGGATAGCATTTTTGATGAGCTATTTTCAGAAAGAAAAAGAACTATATTCTTGTCTTCGAGACAGAGCCCTGGTGACTGGGTTTGGCCATGGGCTGCTGCCTTCCTGTGGACAGGTGGCTCCCCTGACCTGTAGGGGAAGCCCGCCCACCTTGTGACCACAGGACTTACACACAGAGGGCTCCCTGAATGCCTGAATGGAGGAACCACCTCTAGGGGCAAATAAAGAGCAGCAGCGATTACTGGGAATTTGGCAAGTGGCTGCAGCTCCCTGGGTTCAGATTATACCAGGCTCAGCATTATACTTACGGAGAAAAATTAAAACCATTCCCTCTAAAATCAGGAACCAGACAAGGATGCCCACTATCTCCGCTCCTATTCAACATAGTACTGGAATTCCTAGCCAGAGCAATTAGGCAAGAAGAAGGAATAAAAGGAATACAAATAGGTAAAGAAACTGTCAAAATATCCCTATTTGCAGACGACATGATCCTATACCTTAAAGACCCAAAAAACTCTACTCAGAAGCTTCTAGACATCATCAATAGCTATAGCAAGGTAGCAGGATATAAAATCAACATAGAAAAATCATTAGCATTTCTATACACTAACAATGAGCAAACGGAAAAAGAATGTATGAAAACAATTCCATTTACAATAGCCTCAAAAAAATCAAATACCTAGGTGTAAACCTAACAAAAGATGTGAAAGACCTCTACAAGGAAAACTATACACTTCTGAAGAAAGAGATTGAGGAAGACTATAGAAAGTGGAGAGATCTCCCATGCTCATGGATTGGTAGAATCAACATAGTAAAAATGTCTATACTCCCAAAAGTAATCTACATGTTTAATGCAATTCCCATCAAAATTCCAATGACATTCATTAAAGAGATTGAAAAATCTACTGTTAAATTTATATGGAAACACAAGAGGCCACGAATAGCCAAGGCAATACTCAGTCAAAAGAACAATGCAGGAGGTATCACAATACCTGACTTCAAACTATATTACAAAGCAATAATAATAAAAACAGCATGGTACTGGCACAAAAACAGACATGAAGACCAGTGGAACAGAATAGAGGATCCAGATATGAAGCCACACAACTATAAGCAACTTATCTTTGACAAAGGAGCTAAAAATATACGATGGAGAAATAGCAGCCTCTTCAACAAAAACTGCTGGGAAAACTGGTTAGCAGTCTGCAAAAAACTGAAACTAGATCCATGTATATCACCCTATACCAAGATTAACTCAAAATGGATCAAGGATCTTAATATCAGACCCCAAACTCTTAAGTTGATACAAGAAAGAGTAGGAAATACTCTGGAGTTAGTAGGTATAGGTAAGAACTTTCTCAATGAAACCCCAGCAGCACAGCAACTAAGAGATAGCATAGATAAATGGGACCTCATAAAACTAAAAAGCTTCTGTTCATCAAAAGAAATGGTCTCTAAACTGAAAAGAACACCCACAGAGTGGGAGAAAATATTTGCCAACTATACATCAGACAAAGGACTGATAACCAGAATATACAGGGAACTTAAAAAACTAAATTCTCCCAAAACTAATGAACCAATAAAGAAATGGGCATGTGAACTAAACAGAACTTTCTCAAAAGAAGAAATTCAAATGGCCAGAAAACACATGAAAAAATGCTCACCATCTCTAGCAATAAAGGAAATGCAAATTAAAACCACACTAAGATTCCACCTCACCCCTGTTAGAATAGCCATCATCAGCAACACCACCAACAACAGGTGTAGGCGAGGATGCGGGGAAAAAGGAACCCTCTTACACTGTTGGTGGGAATGTAGACTAGTACAACCACTCTGGAAAAAAATTTGGAGGCTACTTAAAAAGCTGGACATCGATCTACCATTTGATCCAGCAATACCACTCTTGGGGATATACCCAAAAGACTGTTACTCCAGAGGCACCTGCACATCCATGTTTATTGAGGCACTATTCACAATAGCCAAGTTATGGAAACAGCCAAGATGCCCCAGCACTGACGAATGGATTAAGAAAATGTGGTATCTATACACAATGGAATTTTATGCAGCCATGAAGAAGAACGAAATGTTATCATTCGCTGGTAAATGGATGGAATTGGAGAACATCATTCTGAGTGAGGTTAGCCTGGCTCAAAAGACCAAAAATCGTATGTTCTCCCTCATATGTGGACATTAGATCAAGGGCAAACACAACAAGGGGATTGGACTATGAGCACATGATAAAAGCGAGAGCACACAAGGGAGGGGTGAGGATAGGTAAGACACCTAAAAAACTAGCTAGCATTTGTTGCCCTTAATGCAGAGAAACTAAAGCAGATACCTTAAAGCAACTGAGGCCAATAGGAAAAGGAGACCAGGAACTAGAGAAAAGGTTAGATTAAAAAGAATTAACCTAGAAGGTAACACCCACGCACAGGAAATCAATGTGAGTCAATGCCCTGTATAGCTATCCTTATCTCAACCAGCAAAACCCCTTGTTCCTTCCTATTATGGCTTATACTCTCTCTACAACAAAATTAGAAATAAGGGCAAAATAGTTTCTGCTGGGTATTGAGGGGGGGAGCGGGAGGGGGTGGAGTGGGTGGTAAGGGAGGGGGTGGGGGCAGGGGGGAGAAATAAACCAAGCCTTGTATGCACATATGAATAATAAAAGAAAAATGAAAAAAAAAAATAAAAGGATTATAAAAAAAAAAAAAAAAAGATTATACCAGGCTCTGTTGTGGAGCCCCTGCAGATTGTGACCCAGAGGTTGTAACTAGGAGAGTTGCTCCAAGGGATGAATCAGACTGGAGGTGAAGGTTCTCTCCATCTCTCCAGGTGCCAGCAGTCAAAGGGAAGGGCATGTCTCAGGTGGGGCCTACTCAGGGTTGGTGTGGCTCACCTGCTGCTGCATCAGGTGCAGAGGCAGGGCCGCACGGTGGGGGAGCACTGGTGACAGCGGGACCTCCTCCTGGCTGCTCTGCCGGCGCAGGCACTCAAAGTTGAAGGAGGATCTCCGGTGGGCTAAGAAGGCAAAGCACACGCTTAGTGAGGCAGGCCCTTGGACATTGGACACTATCTCTCAGGAGTTGGAGTGGCCCTCTGGATGTTCACAGGAGCAAGTAGTATGTACAAGAGAAGGCATTATGTAGTGAGGTCCCTCAAGGAGAAAATGGGAAAAGCAGCCCAGCTGAGGGATGTTTCTAAAAAGTACAGATTTATTACTTTTAAATGTATGCCTGTTTTCAGGCAGCCTATAGGACATTCGTGCTGAGTGAGAAGCCCTGGTTAGAAATGTCACAGGGAACAAGCACATGAGTCATTCTACAATTGCAGGTATTTCCTGACTGTCCTCGTTTTGTCTTCTAGACACCCTATGCATTTCTGTGGCCCCATGTTTATACCTCTGTTTTAAAGGGAGGGAATCTGTCTGCCCTCATCAGCTCAACCACACAATAAGCAAATTGTTGCTGGGAAAGACCGAGCCTACTAGCACTGAGGAAGCAAAGAATGGCTGTAATAACGTGTGTATCTGCCGAGAGTCACTTCAAATGGGGCTCTCGCAGCTTGAGGGATGATAAGAGGATCCACACCTTTCAGCTTCACAGGATACCAGGCCTAGGGTATCAGTCTGAATTCTGAGGCCCTTTGACAGAGCCAGAGGCTTTCCTCCTGGAAGCCCCTCTACCCTTACTGGGATTGGCTTCGGGAAGTCCTACATACAGTTTGCCAGACAGTGGCTGTGTTACCGCAGTCTCCCCTTTCTTGCTCTCTTTTTCAGGTCACAGGGCATTCCCCAACCCCAGACAAACCATACAGGCCTCTACTTCCTGTCCTGGAAAACTTCAGGGGCTGGTCCCACAAAGCCTCCTGGTCATCCTGGGGCTGCACATGAAGACCAGGCTGACCTCTCAGCTGGCCTTGTCCAGCCTGCTGAAGGACATGCTGGAGCCTCCTACCTGAGATGCTATGTACACCTGACAGCTGCCTCCATCACAAAGCCTTCTTTCACTCCCTCCCAGGCAGCCAGGGCCTTTCTGTGTCTAATACAGTCCCTAGATCTCTTCATGAGGTATGCCTCTGCACAAGGGTCTCTGGAGGATGTACTCTTTCCACGATCATTGAGAACACAAGCCAATGCACATGTCCAACGTCTGAGCCGCCCCACAGCAGAGTCAATCTTCTTCCAGAAGAAGCAGGTAGTTGCCCCTGCCCACTCAGGCTACTCTCCAGCATTTGCTGGGCCTGAGGCTGGCAGCATTCATGTGTTTACTGAGCTGTCTGGGTGGGGGAGTAAGCAAAGACAAAGGCCCAAGGAAGGCAACAAGAACTACAAAGGCAAAGGGCTTCCGCCATGCACATGCTTCATTTAGTATTTATGGGGAATGGAATGGCTCCATTCAGCAACATGTGTTTGGGCCTACCAATTAAATATTAACCACGGAAACTGGTCTGATTCCACTCCCCGGCAGGACATGCAACAGCTGAAGTGAGGCACAGGCAGGCACCACCCACCTCTCACTTTATTACAGATTCAGGAGCCTTTGTGTCTTGGCTATTTTGGTTACTGATTGGACTATTGCTCAAAATTAAGCTTTATTCCTCAGAAACATTAAAATGTCCACATGTCCAGTTCTTTGCTTTGGGTGACCTGGATCTGCCAGTGCCAGTTACGCCACTGCTGAAGGAGGAAGGTAGGAAATCTCCCTCTCAGCAGGATGGATTTCCTGACCCCAGAAGGGGAGTGCCTATCCTGGAGGTGACTACCAAGGTCAAAATTTGCCCCATGAACACAGAGCCCTGGCAGACTGAGGCAAAGCTGAGAGATGGAAGAAAGAGGGAAATGAGGGTAAGCCTTGGTGGGAGACGAAGGAGAGATGGATACCAAGAATCTCCAGAGGGTCCTCAGAGGCAGGGGCTTGTGAGACAGGTCTGGGGCAAGTCCAGCTCTGCACTTGAGCCCATACTCCTCCTCATGTCCCCATAGTGGAATGGGATGGACCTGACCACAACAGAAGTACAAATATATCTTGCCTGCCTCTCAAGACAGAGTCAAGCAATACCATGTAGACAAAAAACCTCTTCCTGTGTGCGTGTGTGTGTGTGTGTGTGTGCGTGCGTGCGCCCGCGCGCAATTTCAGGGCCACATACTGCCTGTCTCTATGCTCCAAGAGAGCCAACCACAGTGCTGATATGGTTTAAGCTTCATCACAGGTGATATAGATGACAGAAAGGAAAGCTAATTTACTGTCCACCCAGAGTAATAGTCTTGAGAACTAACAGCCCCTGACTTGGCAGGGCAAATCCATCATGCATCCCTGGGGTCAGGGGAGATAGGCACAGTGTTCTCCGTGGCCTTCACCCCAAACAAGAAATCTGGCCTCACATGTTGGGGTGGGAGGTAGTAAGCGTCTCCTTGGAGATCTCCGGGAATCATAGCCAATAGGCAAGTCATCATCATCCAAGAAGCCTTGGGGGTGATGGTAGCCTCGGGGCCTCTCGAAGTCCATGGTGTTGCCTGGGTACCTGTTGTAGTAGCCGTAGTTTTGTCTGGCAATCAGAAAGGGCCAAAAGGGAAGGCACATATGAGATTCTGGATAACAAACCTGTCACGTAGCTCCAACAGACTCCCCACCTCAGTAGGACTAAAAGAGAACAAGGCAGTCCTCATGGAAGATTTCAGATGGAGATCAGTGACCACTGCAGGAAGACTGGAGGCCAATGATCAGCAATGTATTGGTCATTTCCATTGCTTGACCAGCCTCGGGCCTAAGGCAGATATGGATCACAGGTACACTATCAGCCTAACTGTCGTTCACTGATCAGTTGAAGACCCCTGTCTTGAGGGCCTGTCCTCTGCCAGGTGCCAGTTGAGGCACAGGGACACTGAGGTGTGTGAAGCATGGTCTCCACTCCCAAGGAGCTTAGGAAATGGCACAAGCACATATATTCAACGCAGGCTGAAGAGCAGAGAGGAGCCATGCTACTGAGAGGCACACAGAAGGTTCTAGAAGGTGGGGTTTTTGTGTGTATGGGGCTTGGGGAATGGGGTCACATTTCAATTCCAGGCAGGGAAATGCAAAGAAAGGCACTTAAAGAAAGTGGAATGAAGCTCACAGAGATGGCTAAGGGTATCTAAGCAGCGGACATGGTATGAGCAAGGGCCTGGAGAAGGAAACACAGGGTCCATTTGGCTTAGAATCTGTGGTTGTGAAGCAAGGTCTATTCATTGAGATAAAAGCTAAGCTACAGGCTGGCCAGGCTGCTATACAAACACAGCCCCCAGGTTGGACCTCCCAGTTAGTTAAAAACAAAACAAGTAAAACAAACTCATCTTTCAAAAGATGTGGGTCTTATGGAAAGGGCTCCATAGGCCCCTAGTGAGACAAGGCCACAGGGGTAAAAACACAACCTTCATTCCCTCTTGTGGCCCTGTTCTTGGAACCTGTGCTCCTGATTTGCTTTTTGGAATAATTCAGGTAAGGCTATAGGTGACCCCCAGTCCCTTGAGTAGGAGGTGTAAGGGGCAAGCTTGGACTTCTGAGCACCTTACCTACTCCAGGTGGGAGAGCTGTCATCCTCACAGCACTCCTCACTACTGAAATACTCCTCCCCCAAGCAGTGGGGGTCCCTGAAGTAGTCATGTATCTCCAGGTCTTCTCGGCAAATAGTTGGGAGCTGCTCATCTCCTGAGTCAGACCTGCAGTTGGGAAAGAGATCTGAGAGCCTGACAGCATGTAATTACTGCAGCCAAGCCTCTGTGCACAGTACTCAGCCCTGTGGAGGAGCAACTGCCTTTCCCTGTGCACACCTGCCACAGTGCAGTGGGCCCCCATTCAGGGCCAGGGCAAGGATGCTGTATGTGTGTGGGGGAGGGGTGTTTTTCCCAGTATCTTGGACAACACTGGGGCTGAACCATTGTGCCCAAAGGCCTTGGCACAGATGTAATTTGGAGAACAAACGAAGAAGACAGACTTGAAACACTGCACACAATGGTCCTTAGCCCTGGGGAAAAGACTCTAGTGTCCCCTGCCATCTACTGACTTCAGAACCTGGGACAGAGGCCTTCCTGCTGCTGACTCCACTGTATCACAGAGGAGCTCTGTATACTGTATTACAGGAGATGCTCATAGAAAATGTCTCCAGTGTTCAAAGGCTGGGATGTCATCTCCCAGGAACCAGCAGACTCAGGCCATCAACCCTCTCTCCAAAGGAGGAGCCTGCTTTCTCAGCATACCTCATTCTCTTACTCCTTACTCCTAAACTCAGCGGAAATAATGAAGGTGTAAGAGCTATCTGCGCCTGCCTCAAACAAAATGTTCCACCTGCAAGTCAACCCAGGTTAGCACACATGCAGTGTACTCCACACACTGAGGGTGACAGGGAGATCTAATACCTGCTTTTCAGGAGGTCTGGGTCATGCTCTTCCTAAGTCAGCATGACAATTCTGCCTAAAGGCAGCCAGAGTGTTCCAGCACTATAAGGCAGGCCCTGTGGGGCACACCTGGCATGTTGTCACCAGTCCTTGGATGGCAAGAGTTTATGCAGATATGACCTTGGAGTTCTTTGCTAGACAGAAGCAACAACCTCTGATCCCTGAGGGCACAGCCCTGAAGTATGAAAACCTAACAGGCTACTTTGCACAAAGAAACTATTCTCATTTCTTAGCAGTCAGAGAGGCCAGTTGGTAACATGGCAGCACAAGATTAAACACAGAAACAGAGGTGACGAGCACATACCTAATATAAGTTTCATAATAGCGGGTTCTATCCAGGAAAGGCATGACATGGGAGGGAGGGAGAACACAGAAGTTAAGCATTTAACCGACAGCATTTAAAGTACAGACATCTGGATACCTCCTAGAGTGCGGCTGGGTGAACTATGGTTCACTAGCCAAATGTGGGTTGCTACCTGTTTCTGTATAACCAGTACAGTAGGAACAATTTTTATATTTGTAAAGGGCTGAAAAAAAGAGCATCAGAAGAAAACCATTTCATCTTATGTGAATGTATGAAGTTCAGACTTCATTGTCTATGCATATGGCTTTATGGCAACACAGCCATCCCTGTTCACTTAAATACGGTCTCTGGCTGCTTACACCATGTAATGGCAGAGATAATATAGTTGCAAGAGAGACCACATCATCCTCAAAGTCTAAAACAGTTGCACTCTGGCTCTTTACAGAAGAAATTTGCCAGCCCATGGCCAAAGGTATGGGACATAACTGAGAAGGATTTTATGGCTGCTGCTGCTTGAAGAGGTCCCATATTTTAGGATATAGGACGGCGGATGTTCTCTTGTCTGTAAGCCCTTCACATAGACAACATGTGGAGAGGCCTCAGTGGCACTTGTGCCTACAGGGAATCTCCTCAACATGCCAGGGCACAGAGAGACTCGCCTTGTCCCATGAGCAGATTTGGCACAGGCAGACACTTACTACCAGCATAAACACATTTTATAGGTTACCTTTTAATACTGGACCTTCTTGGAGGCTCCCGGTCATGCTTATGGGAGGAATGATGCCCATTTTCGGACCCATGCTCAAGGTTCCCAATGCTGGGCTGTTTTCCATGGGCAGCTTTGGACATATTGGCATTATTGAGGTTGGCATTTGTTGAGGTGGGAACTTGCTTTCCTATGGAATTATGGTTATGATGGTTATGACACACCGAATTTCCTGCTGGAGGAAACAGCGGTTTCTCAGTATCACTTGCAGGTGGAATTGAAGGCCTTTGGACATGCAGGGGACGGTGGGTGGTATTGGTCTGCTGAAGGGAATCTCTCCTATCACTATTAACATGATTGACATGGTTTCCAAGCAGGGCACCATTTCTCTGCAAAATAATGGGAGACAACACCAGGTAATTTAACAAGTATTTGATGCAGGCTAGCTATGTTAGGTAACTTTTTTTTTTCTACATGAAAAACAAACTCTAGGTAAGCTCCGTAGGATCCCTGTAAAACAATCTGAGTGTCTTAGTGGTCAGGTGACTACATTCACGTGGAAGTTTGTCCCCCTGAAATGAGGAAGGTTACCAATTCCTAAGCTGGGGAGCAAGCTCTCTGTCACTTGAGTGTGCTCTTCCACTTGCTCCAAGTCGAGGTGGCATATGTGTTGGTAGGCATCCCTAAAGTGGGACAGTAGGTATGCTCTCTGGGCTTGGGGGCTGGGGACCAGCTGGCAGATCAAGGAGCTGGTCCAGGGAAGGAGTACAGCATTAAGCAGCTGCTCGATGGACCCAGAATGCTCCTCCACACTGGCCAGTGGCTGTGGCCAAACTCCTCAGAAGCTCACAGTCAGGGGCAAGGAGACGCTTAGGGAAGGAGCTGGCCTGGCCCAGAAGAGGTGCTGGTGGATGGAGAGGATCTGGGGACAGGGAGGACACAATGTGCAAGCTCTGCTAGACCCTGTGACTGGTTTGCAATCTCCAGATTCCTCTGTGGATTGTAACTGCCCCAACCAGAGTCCTGCCCCACTACTTCCAGGTAGCCAAAGTGTAGCTAGGCGTGGAGTAATTACTTTGAAAATGTCTTCTTCTTCTCTTTTTGTTTCCTCTGGCCCATCATCTTGCAAATCACAGGAAATAGCACGCCGGATTTCTGGCCCAATGTCATGCAGTGTCCTTAATCCCGCCTAGATCAATGAAAATGGCAGAACAGGTTAGACAACAGGGGACCTTGGGTCCAGTCTGGGGCTTGGCTTTGACAGGAGGGGAAGCCTTTTCCAAAAGCCACCAAGGAACTGACTGACTGACTGACTGACTAGAACTGAAGGCAGCCTAAGGGATGCAGGATGTAGTTAAGAGCTCACCATGGTCCTAGGATGGGATGCTTTAGGCCTATAACCCAGTAACCTCTGCAAATAGCCCCACATGCAGGCATACTGCCTAGTTACCAGGACTTGAGTCTATCATGGACGAGAACACACCACCCTTCCCACCCTGAGTGAGTAAATGATGGTCTTTGGAAGGACCTGAACCACCTTCTGACCCTGAGCAGGGAATAGCCTGGCTGTTCTAAAAGGAAGTGATAAGGGTCTCCTGGCTGTATCCAGGATGAGGCGGCCTAGGTACAGGGGCCAGAGGAGCATGCAGACCAAGCAGCTATCAGGGCCACAGGCTCCACTGAAAAGACATGGAACAAGTGAGTAACACTATACACTGCAGTCACCAACACACTCAGACCACAAGGAAATGGACTGATAAGCACACGGACCTGAGCTGCTGTGCAGTGGGCCTCCATGGCTATTGTGGTGCTCTGATCTGAAACCTGTGCAGGCTGAGCACTTGCCAACACAGGGGTCATGTTTCTGGAGACCACCCAAGTTGAGTGTAGCTTACTAGCATGAGCAGGCAGTCCAAGGCCCACAGAGAGAATCTCTCCAGGGCCCTCCCAGAAATCCTGCATTTGTCCCAGGCCCTCGCAGCTGGCCTTCTTCACTCTGGTCCCATCTAATAGGACAGGGTCTGGGATGCTCTTCCATTGTTCATAGCTGTGTTAGGGAAACATTCAGAGGCACCAGTGGACTACAGATGGGGAAGGTGCAGCTTCTGGCTCTGGGAAATTATGTTTTGAAGGAAAACATAATTATGAATTTGAAGAAAAACAGAATGCTGACGAAGACTAATAGTGGTAGTGCAGCTGCTTTATCCTTCTCCATAAAAAGACTTGTATCTGGAAGAGTCATTTCCTCTCTGGCCCCAGGTCCGTATCCAGACAGCACCTCCTCATTCTCCAGCAGTTGCCTGTAACTCAATAGCCACTAAAAGCTCCTAGAGCAGCTAAGGCATTGGCTGGGCAGGTCTCCATCTGCAGCTTAGGTTCTAACCTCAGGATACTTTGCAGAGGAGAGCTGGCTGAGTAGTGGACCCTCGGGGGAGGGGACCACTTTCCTGACATTCCTCCTCAACACCCCAGCGGGGAGGGTAGTTGTTGCAAGGACATAAACAAAGAGGAATGACCCTGCCTGAGATATGCATGTGGTGCAAAGAATGCCCGGCAGTGGTGAGGGTCCCCTTAGTGTGAAATGCTCAAAATGGGTCTTCTGCAGATGCCAGTGTAGTAATGTTAATTCCAAGTGCAGTTGCACAGGAACTTTCCAGGAGGCCCTTTATAAAAATGGACTTATCCACAGAGCACCCAAACTAAGACCAAAGTCTATTAAAATGGCACAGTGGCTGGGTTTGATCTGACCTCTTCTGTGAACACAGAGCAGCAGAGCCTTCCATTTCATGAACTGTGGGGGTGAAGAAGAGGCTAGGAGTCAAAACTTTAAAGTTCCCACCTAGGAGTTTTGGGGTCTTGCAGGAGAAAGAAAGATATGTTCCAGGGTCATTCCCAGAACTGTTGTTGGTATATGAGAAAAGCTAATTCCTGATCTGTCTCTCTGATAACAGACACAAGACACACACACACACACACGCATACATATACACATTTCCTTTTTCAGGATTCCTGAGTCCAGCAGATCTAAGCCTGGGGAGTCACTTGGTTCTGAGGCAGAACCACTGCCACTCTATGGAAACATCACAAATGCAACTCTAATGTTATGTTGGCAGAAGCGCTTACACAGTACAGCTGCAGGCAGGTGAAAAAACGCTGTACTGAGCAGTATTGGCCAATCTGCAATCCATTCATTCAGAATTTTCTAGGACGCAATTATCAAGGAATGATAAGCTAAGCAAAGGTCTCATTTTAGATCAACTGGGAATAAAGGTATGTTATATATCTGAGGTCCAAACAAGAAGAGACAAAAGGCTTGAGACACCTGCTGCTATCTCCACAAAATAAACATGGGTTACAATACACTAAGGGCAACACCCCCAATTGAACTGTATACATCAATCCATGTTATAAGGCAAGAGGAGGGCCAAGAAGCACCCCTGAGTTTAAACAACAGACAAGCTTACTGTCATTCAACTGACTGGACTAGATCTGATTAAAAGAAATAGAAAACTATTTATTTGGATAATTTTTAACATCATCCTCTGTTGATGGGTTGACATTTCACTGAAATACACATATAATTGCGTAATAAAAACAAAAACTGTCTCCAGCACATCTTCAGTGATACACAAGATTAGGTTTCAGTCAACAAGAGAGTACAGCAAATAGACATAGGACAGAGAATTTGTTTGCAACATAAATCATGGAGAAGGTTGAGAGGTGGCCCAAAGTGCCACTTCCCAAGACAAATAATGACAACAAATTTATTAAAGAGACATCAAAGGAGGAAAGAAAGCATCACTCATTCCAAAAAGTTATGATTCTAGTTTGGTTGTTCCACACAGGACAAAGCACACCTTGTAAGAGTCAGGGACTGACTTTGCTCTTTCACATGTGACTTGGGGGCAGGGGACAAACACAGATGCTCCCAACTAGAATTGAAATGAAGCTTAAGCACAGCACCCTGAATTTATTACATATCACAAAACATGATAATGAAATTGTTCTAGCACACATATCAAGCTAAAAGGTAGCTTAGGCTGCTCCAAAATTCCATAGGCACAAGTTCCAGTTCCAAGGTATAGACAACTATCTTAAACCTTTGGAAAAATTACTTAGTTTTTCACAACTCTAAAAAAGAATATTTTTAAAATAAACACTTTACAATCAGTAAAATTATCTATTCTTTCATCTTTCACATCTGTGTCTACCTCTATCAGCAAAATATTATTTTAATTTCAAATGTGGTCATTAGCACTTAAATCAACACAAACCATATAAAGTCATTCCATTATTATCACAATAGAATTATGATTTTGAATCAACACAGAATTGCTATAAAATATAAACATCATTGACTTGTTTTAAGATGTCCAATCTTACAAAATGCTGAACAGAATCAAGCCTAATTTCTGGTTTGATTTTAAAATGCTAGATGTTATCATAAATATTTTTTAAAAAAGAAATGTTGGCGCTTTGCCTGTAGACGGCTGCTTTAAATTTTAGACACCATTTAATTGGAATTTTATAGATACTTACTCTGTTCGATGAATTAAGTCACCAAAAAAAAAAAAAGCTATAAAATCTCTAAACATTTCTGAAGCAACAGCATAAAATTATGGTATTTTAACATCAAACATGAACATTTATTTACCTTCCTTTCCCTTGCCCACTTTCAGGGTTAAGTTTCTCCTGTCTGGATGCATGTGAAATGCTCTGATTCCCTAAAGTAGCTGCATCAAACACACCCAGCCACCTGACACCTCTCACAGCACCACAGTGCACACACACAAACACCTGAAACCTGTCCTGGACCTACGCTGTAGCAGTAGAGAAAAGAGATGCAGGTCTCCAGTCGGGACTGAGTGAGGCCATTCATCTTCAGGATGCACGCTTGCAGACTCCAGCCAAACAGCCTGGCCCAGGCACAGTCTGCTCCTCATCACAGGCAGGCTTCATTCAGCCCAACGCTGGCCCTGCACACATTCACCTCACTAACAAGAAGTTTGGATTAACCCTTTCACAGAATGTGGTCCACACTCAGTTGGAGGGGACAATTTTAAAACGGCTCTATTAGAAGAACGAGCTGGAGATTAAATTCTTATAGAACACACTCACTCATCTACAAGCTGTCCTCCGCCTCCTCTGCATACACAGGCACACCCCTTATTTTGTCATGGCTTTCCTTTAGGGTAAATGTCATGAACAGTCTTCGCTTCAGATATAAAGACTTTGAATCATGGGCACGACACTCCATTACTCACCCAGAGAGATTCCTTCTCTCTCGGAAAGCCATTGGTAATAGTACCCTCGTGAGTGAAGTTTCTTAGGCTGATGGTCAGGGGCAGGGAGACACTCAGGGAAGGAGCTGGCCTGGCCCAGAAGAGGTGCCGGTGGATGGAGAGGGTCTGGGGACAGGGAGGACACAATGTGCAAGCTCTGCTAGACCCTGTGACTGATTTGCAATCTCCAGATTCCTCTGTGGATTGTAACTGCCCCAACCAGAGTCCTGCCCCACTACTTCCAGGTGGCCAGCGTGTAGCAAGGTGTAGAGTAATTACTTTGAATACATCTTCGGATAGCACATGACTATGTAAGTCATATATGCCACCATCACTCTGAAAGCTAAAGGAAACATTAAAAAAAATCTAATTTATGATTTTCCCTGAAAAGGATCTGAGAGACCTGTTTCAGGCTCCACCTTGGGGTTTTTTTTTTTTTTTTCCCCCCTGTGGTGCTGGAGATGGAACCCAGCGTCTCATGCATACTAAACAAGTTCTCTACCACTGAGTCACACTCCCAGCCCCTCCACCTTGATTTGTGATCATTATAAACCAGAATCAGAGAAATTCTTGCTAGTTTCCTGAAAATGAAGGGAACATTACATAAAATCAGGCTCATCAGAAGCTGAAATCACCACTTCTATACTGATAGCATAATATTCCTGTCATTCTAAGCCCACATATTGTTACTTCTAGATCCTGGGAAGAAGGATAAGCCAAAATGATGCCCATTCAAGTTAAATTATGCACCCAAACTAGTCAAAGGCTCAGTGAGGACTCTTGATCCCTTGACCTGCTTTTCCCATGATGCTCTTCTACCCACCTCTCCCAAACTACCCCCTCCTCCACCACCAAGACACTCATCACATCTACCAAGAAAATGTGGGAATTGAGTTTCTGTCATCCA